GCCCTATATATAAAAATCACATAACAATTTGAGTAATGCTATATCATTAATTTAAATAATTTGACAAACAATATACAATACATTATAAGATCTTTAGGAATATCTTCAATTGAGGATAACGCATTTACCCAAAAATCAACCATATCGGCCTTGTGCGTGGAAAGGGATCTCTTTTCATACACTACCGATGATTGGAGAATCCACATATGACAAAAACCTTTATCATCACATAATACATCTTTAAGATTCTTATATAACTTGAAAAAATAAAAAATAGAGTGAATAAATAATACCAAAATAATTATAGACAAATATGTTATGTTTACCTCATATCTATCAATTATATTGACAAATAATAAAAATATGGTGCCAAAACTTTCACAATCTTGAAGATAAGACTCTACCATAAGATTATCAAGTATTATATTATTAAATACTCAGTAATAATGCTAATTTAAACATTTCTATATTATGAAATATTACCAAAGTCATCATCATCAGACCTTTCCCATGTATTACATAATTGTTCCAAAGGTTGTAAAATTTCAGAAGGATGACGATATAGATGAATAATATCAAGAGCAGAAGTTTCGCCAAGAAGACGACATAATATTGACAAATGTCGTAACTCTCGATTATTACACCACTCTGTTATTAGCTTAATAAGTAAATATGAATAATAAAGTAGAATGCTTCAAATATTTATTGACATTAAGTATATAATATGAGTAGTTACCCTTAATATCGTTTCTATTCTTGATTCCTGATCTAAAAAATGCGTAGGAACCGTGGACACAAAGCTTTCTATCATCTCGCTATTAGGATCATTTAGGATGCCACCAGCATAAGAATCGGTTTCCTAGTGATATATATCATAGGTCAATATTTGCAAACTTTAAAATGACATTGAAGGGTTTCTCTCCAAGATACCATAGAATCAAATCCACTCCATTCAAGTTCCAATATTCGTAATACAAATTCTCGTCTTAAAAGATTTCTTTTAAAGCACGCTTTCAAGATATCAGCTGATATATCAGGAACCCTAGAAAATTAAAAATAACGCATATGTTATTTTGTTGTTTATTAAAATTAATGGATCAACGTTGACATAAGATGAATAAAAAAAAACTCACTGAAAAATATCTTCAATTATTTCCTCCACTTTCTGATTACATGCATTAAATAATCCTCGAAACCCAGACAATTGATTAAAGACACATTCATGACGCCCAAACTATAACGAATTAATAAATTAATGCCAAACGTACATTATATTGTTAGATCCGAATTTTTATTAAATTAGAAAGATACCTTAATCTCTTCATTTTCACCAAATTTTAATGATTTTCTTGCTTCTAGCTTTTCGATTAATGCAGGAAGCTAATATAAATTATAAGATTAATATTTAAATATTTAAATGATTAAGCACAAATTATAATACCTTGACTAGCACAAAACTTTTCCATAAAAGAGAATGACCTCCTGGACCTGGGTAATCGCTGTATTCTTCTGCCAATCCAGTTAAAGCGGCCATCCATAATTCAACATAAAAGACATGATCAAAAGCGCCCTAAATTACATTTTTTTTTTTTTTCGATCATAAAAAAACAGTAGAAATCTTGTAACTAAGGAATTGATCTTGTGATTAGAACAATTAAATACTAACCTTCACGCGTTGTAATTTTTCCAAATATTCAACTGCCGTATCGTCATTCATTACTGGACGATTTTGAACCTGTATAATAATAAATATCATTAAAAGAATAATTTCGATAATTTCGAATTATATCAGCGAAACATGGATAAATACCTACTAAATTATATACGAAAAACATGATAGATACGGAAGGTAATGCAAGAGTGTCGTTGAATATTGCCATTATTATACATGTGTGTCGAAACTATTTTGCTCTTTGCGTAAATTTAAATGAAAATAATTTTTGACAGTAAAAATCAAATATTAGTATGTCGAAAATATTTCTGTATGTCGAAAATACGTAAATGCATGTAGTTTGATTGGATGCTTATTTTATATTACAAAATATTGTTACACAGGCTTTTTATATTATTTTACAATAGAAAATTTTGTATTTTCGCGTAATAACGCCCATGAGCGTTATTTCAAATGTTGGCCCGAATTAAGCTTAATTTAGGCCAAATTCGAATTTACACCCCTGCGCGTTATTACGCGAAAATACGGGTAAATTAAAGTAGCTATATCGAAATTTTTATTAACTTTCATCCACCAACTTTCATTAGACATTACAAGCATGTAGTACGTTAACAATATTATTTTAATTTTTAAAGAGTAATAATTAATAAAAATAATATTTCCTTTTAAATAGATTCGAAATTTATGTGAGCAAGATAAGAAGATCCATAAAAGTATCGGAAACTCAAATACGAAATTAGTTTTTTTAACGTTAATTTTTGGCCAATTAGAGTTTTTTGTTTTTTGCTAAAAGTAGATTCTACCCGAACCATGTAATGATTTTTTGCCCAATTTGGGGGACGTCTAAAGCCGTGGCCAGTCACGTGTTTTTTGTTTTTAATTAAAGTTAGGGTAAGGGTTAGTTTGGGGTTAGGGTCAGAGCATATCTTATAGTAAAATTGTCTTCCCGACATTTTTTATTAATGCACCAAGATGGGTTTAGACTATCGTTTCTTGTATTTT